CAGCCATCGCAGTATAGTTTAAATAATATTTAAAAATGTATTAAGATAAATTTTTGGTTTTGTATACGAAAGCAATTCTTGTTTTTATTTGTGTCTTTCTTGTGTCATTCTCAGATACAATTAAATATTAGATGCTTTATGATTGCAAATGGATATAATACCACTGTATTGTTTTATGCGCTTTCTACATTTTAGTTTATAAGAAAATGAAAAATTGTCTGCTATGCATTATAACTTACACTATTGACTAAGGATGCAGTGCATTGAATGGAAGGTTATGCAAATGAAAGGTTTTCAGATGGTGTTTTCTTATGCCATTCTTACGTATGAAGGTTTATTGCTTGTAAATGCCATAAAATCGCGCAGATAAATTTTCCACTTTACTATTTTATTAATGTATTTTTTACTGTTATGTTTATTAGTTTCTCGTTAGAAACCACATACAACGTTGTTAAGAACTACTACGTTTCAGCAGTTCAGCCATAATCATTACCATATTTTATTTATACAGCTCAATGAACACATTTTTGGTTTAAAATACCTACATAATACCATATACTCGTGTCGGTAAACAAATTTTTGAATTATAACCAATATGAACTGAGATTTCCCTGATCTTTCCTATAACCGATCATTCTGGTTCGCGTATCCTTGCTGGATTATTCTGTCAACTCTTTCGGCATTTCGCATTCTTCTGTGTGAATGTTTAAAAATGTACTTCACAAAAATCACCTTCACCCAACACTGAATGAAACGACCCAGTAAATTGCACAAGGAACACTGCTAAACCTAGCTCTGTTGGACATATACAAAATGAAAAGAGGTTAAGCTCGGTCAGATGGAAGAAAAAATGAAACTGGATGGGAACTAATCACTCCGGGCACCCAACAATAATCAGTAAAATCAGACACCAATTGTTAGAATGGGGGTCTGACTATGTGCCAGGAAACTATGTTTACAACATCCTACAAAGTTTCAACAGACTGCAGAGGAGAAGAAGAATTCTGGAGGAAATCAGATTTGATGATATAGTATACAAATGGCTTCAAAACAAGTGATGAAACGGGATCTGGCGTTTTCTGTACAAGTTTAAAATATGAGCAATCTTCTTTAGGGAAGTACAGCTGGGGTTTTGAAGCTAAAATTCACTGACAGGCAAAACATACTTACAAACGGGCTTTTGTAAAAGGATTAAAAATGGCCACCCTCGTTTTTTAGTAAATTCTTGCAATCTTTATCATTTTTACATTTTGGTGTTTACTGGATATTTGTAAAGAAAAATATAAAATATAACTATGTAAAGAATTAAATAAAAATTTATACTGAGTAAAACAATTTTACAAGAAATGTTGCTTTGGTCAAAATGAAGAAAATATTGAATTCAGTATGGAACATTTCCTCCTCTTGCGTTGATCACCGCTTGCATTCGACTTGACATCAATTTTATGAAGTTTTGAATGTAGTGCTGTGGAATGTTTTTAAACACCTCCAACAGCGCTATTCTCAATTCCTGTAAATTCCCTGGCATCACTGAGCGACCTTTACCCTCTTTGAGAGCTCGTCCCAAAGTTGCTCGATAAGGTTTAAGTCGGCACTACATACTGGTCACTCCAAACATTGAATTGAAGCCCGTTCCAAGTAGTCCACATCGATCCTAGCTGTTCGGTGCCTTACATTGCCATGCATAGCAATAAAACCGTCGCAGATTAGTGGCATATAAAAAAACAACTTCTGATACCGCATCTTCAACGTATTACTCTCATGTTAGGGAACCCTAGATGAAGTTTGTGCAACCTTCCATGGAAATGCCTGCCCAAACCATAACACCACCTCCATACCTTCTCTGAACTGAAAATGTTGCGAGGATATATCGCTCTCCTGTTCTTCCCCAAACGCTCCTCCGGCCATCAAACGGAACCATGCCTCATCTGAAAACATGATTTTAGTCCCATCTTGCTCAGATCGATTTATGTGATTATATCTTGCGAAACTTAACCGAGCTGTTCTGCGCCTTGTCAGAAGTTCGCGACTAGAGGGAGGCTTCTCGCACGTTATCCAGCTTACGAAAGTTTTCGCCTTAAAGTGCGTAAACTGAAATTAACATTTCCAACTTATTGAAGTCGTTGCTTGCTATGAACAGCGGTACTATGTCGAATACGGACTACATTCGAAACAATAAAACGATCATCTCTCTGAAATATGAAAATATGGCGACCTGTTCCGGGCGTTCTTGAGGAGACTCAAGTATCTTGGTAACGATGGAAGTCTCTTTTGACAGTTGTTCTGGGAATCTTAAGCACCCTGGCAACATACACTTCACTTCTTCCATCTTCCAACAATGCTATGATTCTAGCCGAATCTGTATCATTTAAAGCCATCATTAAAACAAATTTTAAAATTTAAAAATAAAAATGTACATAGGTACAACTAAAAAAATAAATAAGTAAATAAAACCATCGGAACGTTAGAAAAAAGCTTTACAGAAAAACCAATAATGAAGAGATTGACTACACAAAGATTTATTTATAAAATCCAATTGTAATCACAAGTGATTTTATCTGTGTTTTACGTACCTCAAATCCTTTAAACCGAATATTGTTTAAGATAATCAATGGAGGATTGTCTAAGAGACAATTAAAAATATTAAGAGTGGCCACTTTTTTGCCTCTCAGTATGCCAGCAACGCCTATGCCTTATAAAATTTTAAAAGGGTTTACACGGACAAAAAAATTTCATAACGTCTTATAGGCAAACAGTTATTCATTAGCATGTACAAAGATCACGTAAAATAAGGCAGTGAATGCATCCAAACCTCCAAAAAACCTGGGGAATCAGAAAAATCTGATGATATCTCGGTGACGAGGACACAAGGGAATTTTTGGTATCGAAAAGGCAGGCACAATGGTCAGAGGAGGCCCTGCAAGACCATATATTGGTCCTAACCCTATTCTTGGGTTAATAAAAACAACCTCAGAATGGATTCATAGCCCATGGAATGTTAATCGAAAATATTATGTAAAGCGTACGTCAAACCACATATAAGTTGGACTTAAAGCCCTCCTTCACTACAAACATCATTTTAATATACTTTTCTAAAAACAATTATATTAAAAGTTATAATTAAAATGACAATAATAAATACAAAATCTGATTGAAATAGCAAATAAATCACAAACTAACATTTTGTTTGTCCAATTAAATTATTAATAATATTTATTCTTCTCTTCTTTCTTCTTGGTTGTTCGCTTGTTTTAAGATTTTTATAGATTTTTTCAGGAACTTACAACCATTTAAAAATATCCTTTTATTATATCGATATCGATTTCGGGGGCTCCAACCTCCCCTCTTCAGTCTACATACTAAAAATTTACCAACATATTACCAGCAATTTTTCTCACATAATTTTAAATGAAACATAATGGTTAAAATGCTTAAACAGAAATCTACCTGATTTCAGGTTTAGAACCGCATAAACTCATAAAAAATGAAGTGTATAAATTACAATGTTCTTGTGAAAAGAGAAGACATTGGAAAAACAGTACAGCTTTTGTATGAAAGAGTTAACCAACACAAAATAGATATAAAAAATACAAGCAAAAACTGGATTGGGACAACATGCAACAAAAACTGACCTTAAAATTAAGTTGGGTGATGTTATGATTCTAGGTAAAGAAAAGAATGATGCCAAGCTAATAGAACTAGAAAATATTTGTATAAATTTAGAAGACAATAATATTAACGTACAGCAAGACTAAAATAAAATTTGTAAACAATATAGAATCATTTTAAAAATGTAAAAAAATCGACAATAATACAATTTTAAATTAGTTAGGTAAATTAAATGTGAAAAATAATAATTTAAAATAATAATAATAAACTTAATAATGTAAAGTAATTGGTTAAAAAAAAATCGTAAATGTGTAAATATATAAGTAATTAAGGTTAAATTAGTTATGATAAAAGAACATGTACATTAACAGTACACCACTTGGAATTGAAAAAATACGTCATTACTCAAATAATAAGGACAACCAGTATAATGGTATAACACATAAGAACCTTCAAATTCTAAAATTGAAACCAGGTAGGTGTCTGTTTAAGGATTTTAACCATGTAACTGTTTTATTTAAAATTATATGGAAAAAATTGTTCGTAATAAGTAATTTTGTTAATTTTACTATGCAGACCGAAGATGGGAGGCTGGTGGCTGGTGGCCCCAATATCGATATCGATATAAAAAAAAGATTTTTTTTTTTGTATGAGATCTTAGAAGGCATGCAGATAGTAAAAATCAACAAGTTGATAGAAATAGTCAAAGACGAGCTGACACAATGTAAAAAAAATAATTGTAACCTTTCAAAGAAAACAAAAACAAGCAGCTATTATCACCTTAAAAAAATTAAATGGTTGTCAGTTCCTAGAAAAAACACCTAAAAAGTTATTAATAATTGTTTCAAAGTCCTAATGGATGAGGTATATTCTCGAAACCTTGAGACATGTTAGTCTTCTTTTTTTCGTTGATTTTTCAAAATTCAAGGCTGATATCAATTTATCGAGACCTATTAATATAATGACCAAACTGCAAAGTAATTTAAATAACAATCTAACTTCAATGTCAATTTTTATTTAAAAATGACGTATATGCTTTCCAAACATAAATGCATGGATCTACTGTTGGAAATGTTATAGCCCAACCACTGGACATCACCACCAGGTCGTTACCATTTTACAACGAAAGATTTTATTATATTTTACTAAATAAATAAAAGATGCATTGAAAGGCGAGCCAGATTGTGTCATTTTGTGTGCATTTTGTTTTGACATCACGGAAAATAAAAATTGTATTCTCCTAGGATTCCTTAGAAGAAAAGGGTAATGGTAAAGTGAGTAAGGCATGGCGAACTGGGGTTGTTGGGTGACGTCAGGCTCCCACCCCCGGGAGTGGGGGCGGCGCCCCTCTCCTCCGCCCTGGAGCCTCGCGGCCGCCAGTCTCCAGCCAACTTCCGCCTCCAGAGGGTCGCCGCCGACTCCAGAAGGCTTTCAGTGACCGAAGTGCAATCGCGTGTGACCAGTGTGTGCCACATTTTCCAAACGGAGGCGAAGTGCGTGTCCTTACGTCAGTCCGCAGTGCCAAACCTGTGCCGTTTTTATCAAAATACGATTTTACCCCCCAAAGGGCCAGTTCGAAATTTTGGATTTCCTCTTTTTCTATGAGGTGAATATTTCATTTTCCTAATCACTACAGCTTATATTTAATTAAATACAGTATTAAATTAATTCAAAAATAAACATCCAAGACCTTCCTTGACATGTCACAAGCTTTAAATTTTTGCAAAAATCATCGCCAAACAAACAAACATAAAAATATCCTGTATAAGTATAAACTCACGCAAATCAACATTTGTAAAAAACTTTTTACCTCATACCCAGTGGATTATGCGAATCTCATTTTTACCTCAGACGAGTTAGCATTTTAACGTTTAATCCTGTTAACTCTGATCGATTTGGCCTTTCTAAGGGCCACGGGAGGAAACCAATTAAGCAAAAACTCATCAAAGGAGATGCATTAGCCAAATTTGAATTTTACAATAATATAGACAGTACTGTTTACCATAGTTTAAAATAGTTCAATTCAAAAACGTAACAACCAGTTAAAACATTCTGGTTTTTATGTTAAGAATTCTGTATGCATTCGTCATAAAGATTTTAACAACATTTACCAAAAAATTGTAATATTCCTTTATTGTTTTGTAGCCAAACTTTCCATTCAGCACACTAATATTTAATAATTGCATTAATTATTTCCTAGTATTAAAATATATAAATAATCATTGTTTCTTTATTTTAACTGATTAAATGTCCATTTTTCTACCTCTTATTTAATTTGAACATCTCAAACTCGCTGATAAGCCAACGTGAACATGAGCATTTATCAAATTACAAATTTGTAATAATGTAGTTAATTTTATTTACTTCAATTTAAATTATTTCAGTTCAGAAAAAAGGGCACACGGTTAAGAATTGTAATCGCACCATTGGCCCTAATGGTGTTTTACTCAAAATATGTACCACAAATTTGAAGTTATTGTTTATTATTTTATTCTATAAACAATTGCAACCTACTTTTTTAATGTAACATATTAAATGAGATCAGATATGCATGAGGTTTAATAAAAGTTATTTAAATATGACGGTTTGAATGAAAATTATTCATAACACTAGAAAATCATTTGGTGATAGATTTAAGTTGAAATGACAATTTATTACCTGGTTTTGCTGTAATAATTTCACGTATCTGGCCTTAAGTCTCCTAGGCATGAATGTCTGACGCTGTTCAACGCTGTTGAGGGGCGGCGAATGATGGCTTGTTGGATTCTTATTCATTAGCACGAAGTTGTCTCCAATAAATGAGTGAATGCTTCTAGAAGAACTTCCTCAATGTACCTTTTGCAGTCAAAAATGCATTCTGTTCGATAATAAGTTCTCTATGGGGCGTCGGTGGCCGCAACGGTTTAAGCTTGACACGGCGCTTATCACTGTAAGGTAAAGGTCCCGGGTTCGAATCCAGCGGCCCTGCATTCAAAAACCCGACATACTTACAAATGAGCTTTTTTTTTCAAAAACACCGGCAACCCGAGGGTTGATATAACGTTATATTTATATAAGTTGATATAAGCGTTTTCCACGTCTTCTCTACACATGGTCACCATCCATTGCGACAAACCAAACCTGATCTGTGAAAGGAACAGCATCCCATTGTACCCAAGCGAGATCTAACTTGCGAATATGCCTTTATACTCAATGCCACTCTAATAGAGAACCTGATGCGGGATGTCCAGAGACTTATTCTCGCGAAGTTTTCCTTGAACTTAGAGTTCACCCTTACATAACAGACAGTTTTGAGTTAACTATCAAGGAGTTCATTAAATGACGGTTTCGTAGTGCGGTAACAGTAATAAAACGATCGTCTCAAGCCGTCGTACATCACATTCGACCACTACCTTCTCTTCTATCGAGACCCCGACCCTAAACCTCTGTAGACCATCGTGAATGGTAGATCGGGGCACACCCACTACTAAAATTGTCCTATGTAACGCTCGCTACGTCCTTCGTCGGCCAAAGCACCTGCCCGAGCGAGATCTCCACGTAAAACCATGCTTCAAAGAAAAAAATAACGATTTTTTTACTCAAAGTTGTTGTTGCATAAAAGAAATCAATTTAAAAGGCCAATTACAATGAAACAATACAACAATCCACATTACAACAATAAAAAATAAAGTACCATTTATCGCCATCATCGATCCAGTAAAATATTAAACGCAATGTGTGGTGATTAGTGACCGTTAATCGATAATTATTCAGAAATCGTGAGATGCGATCTGGTGTGATGTAGGTTTCAGAAAAACATTTTCTTTATAGCGCCTACGTTTCGATCTTTATTGAGATCATCTTCAGGGCTCAAAGTGTTTGTCTTCTGTGTAATTGTGCCAGTCTTGCGTGTCTAGAAGAGAGTATTAAGTGCAATAAAAATGTTAACATAGATTGTAAAAACGAAAAGATTTGATTTGTTTCATTTGTGAAGAATGTTATATAATCAATAATTCACATGACACTCACATATTCATAAATCATAATTTCACTTATCACATTTCTAGAAAAAAGAAAGTTGTACATTTAACAGCTTTAGAAAACTTAAATAAAGAATATTTCGTATTGTTTTCTTAATCTAATCCGGAAATCTAATGTTAACGAACTGTGTTCTTTTTATGCAGGTCAAGGGTACAGAAAGATATTTTTCACTTTAGGACAAAATGCTCAAATTTGTCGGATTACCCGTCTTCTCTATGTAGGTGTGCCCAGGCTTTCTTGAGATTAAATCATCTAGATCCTCAATGGTAAAAATAATTGTAAATCCCTTACAAGTTACCCGGACGATGGTTGGAAATACCGGTAACAACTGATTCAAGAATTCATTTGGTTGTAACTTTTCAAAGAAAGAGAAAAAATAATAAACAAAAAAGCTGTTGAGATGTTTTATTTACCTCTGGCTTCACGTAACTTTTATAATTTTATTATTACTCATATGTAACTATTCATTAAGATAAATCTAAATTTGCAAGTATTTTTCATTTTATTTTATTTTATTTTTAATTTTTATTACTAATTCATAGTTAACCCCCTACAAACGGATCCATGTCGTACTTTTGGTAATGTGTACTTGTTTTTGTATAAAAGGAAAAGTAAGTTAAAGTACTTGATACATACATAATATACTTATTTATATTACAATTACATTACAAACTTTGCCCGTAGATGATTCTACAGTCAAAAAGGAAGCAAAAAGTCCTAATTAACTATGGTCCGAATCTTAACTTTTTCGGAGTTATTTCACTTTTTCTGATTTTTTAAGATTTCACTACCTTGCTTCAAATACCACTGATAACTTCAAAAGAACAAGGTTTTAGACAAATCCGTTGATACCATTGAAAACTACGTTAAATTTCCAATAAGATGTGATTAATTCTAAATTTGTAAACGTTGGCAAAACCGCGTTTTAGAAATCAGAAGTTTGAAAAAAAAAATTTTTTTTCAAAGTTGAAAAACTTACTATGGTGATCCTAAAAAACTATTTCCAAACCGAGATTCCAGCAAATTTCAGAAAACGTACTCCATTTAATATCCTTTTTAGTGGTGAAATGACTTTTTTAATTAATTTTTTCAAAGAACAGAAAACACCGTGGTTGAAGGATTGGTAAGGTGGAAAAATAAATAATATTAAAAAATAAAAACTTAAGGAAATTTAAAAAAATTGTTAAACGGTATATATATATATACAGGGTGAATTGCTACTCGTGCTACAAACTTCTCCAGTAGATTCTTCACCCTAAAATGAACAAAAAAGTTCATATTGTCCATGNAATGGTTGAGAATCGGACCATGGACAATATGAACTTTTTTGTTCATTTTAGGGTGAAGAATCTACTGGAGAAGTTTGTAGCACGAGTAGCAATTCACCCTGTATATATATATACACATACTTTAACTTACTTTTCCTATATGTAGATTATTTAGAATATATCTGTAATTGGAAGGTAAGCGACTGTATTAATTCTTTTATCGTTGGTGAGCTTCAATTTTCTGTTAAAATGGCCTAATAATTTCAACAATGCAACAAAAGCGGCTGGATAAATAATCCGGTTTATTGCGAGAGTGATATAGTTTGTTATTATTGAACGATGTTATTTGTTCGGATGTTGATTGTCCTTCGCCCCCTTTGTAATGGAACAAACAAGGGAAAAAAAATCCCGCGATATAAACTTTATCAAACAATCTGTTCTGCTAAATTCCAATCCGCTAATCCAACCTGACTGTCTATTCACGCGTAAGCGTTAACTAATAACGTTTACAACAGAAATACATACTACGGATGTGATAACATGGCTTATTACGTTTCCAACACCTTGATTATTACCAATTACTCGAAATAAACCTTCATTTTCATTATGTTTATCCGTCTAATTATAAAGAAAAAATTGGCAAATTGAATTTTAGCCACCAGGAAGAGAACATCGTAATCGACCCTACAAACATTTTCAAGCACGTGTATTAAAATATTTTAAAACGACGTCTTACATTTTTTTTAAACTTATAAATTAATTATACCATTTTAATTATTGTTTTCATCGATAATGTCTTTCCTAATTACAATTACCCAGAAATAAATGGATATTTACATTCAATCAAAAGATATTCCGTTATATAATAAGCTTTAAATCAATTCATGTTTCAATAACAGTCCAGGTCTAATCGTTCACAAAACAAAATAAGAAATATCGTTTAAATAAACAAGTTATATTCTAAACCTGGCGGTTTGTCTATTTTGATTTTGCTAGATTTTATGCCCAGACAGTGACATTCACGACTTTGAATTACTATGCTTCAACTGGAGGATATTTTGACCAAATTTTAACAAGATTGATACACGAAATCAAGTTGAAGTAGTGACAGGCCAAAGTCGCTAACTCGCAACTCTCGACTTAAGCGAGGGTTCAATTTCGATAAATCGAAAAAAAAGATTCTTTTCAAATGTTTTTTAGACTTTTGATATTTCCTTAGTTTTATAAAGTTTTTGTGGATATTTTGACCTAATTTTAACAAGAATGATACACGAAATCAAGTTGAAGTAGTGAGGCCAAAGTTGCTAACTCGCAACTC